CTAACTTATGATGGAGTCATCAACGACAACATCGTATTCGGTCGTGTCGGAGCTCGAAGGAACACTATTGAAAAACCCTAACCCCTTCGCTTACTTTATGCTCGTTGCTTTCGAGGCTTCAGGTCTAATCCGTTTCGCGATCTTGCTGTTTCTCTGGCCTATCATAGCACTCCTTGACGTTTTGGGCTACAAAAACGGTAGCCTTAAGCTAATGATCTTCGTTGCAACGGTCGGTTTGCGCGAATCGGATATCGAATCAGTGGCTCGAGCCGTTCTTCCCAAATTCTACATGGATGATGTCAGCATGGACGCTTGGAGAGCGTTTGGTTCGTGCGAGAAGAGAGTCGTTGTGACGAGAATGCCACGAATTATGGTGGAGAGATTCGCTAAGGACCATCTTAGAGGTGATGAGGTTATCGGTACAGAGATAATAGTTAACCGGTTCGGTTATGCCACCGGTTTGATTCAGGAAACCGATGTCGATCGATCTGTTTTCAACAGTGTGGCTAACTTGTTTGTGGACCGAAGACCTCAACTAGGTCTTGGACGATCGGTTATCTCGGGTTCTCCAACTTTCTTATCGTTATGTGAGGTGAGTACTAAGGAAATAAAACGTTAGAATATTGATTGAGTTGTGTGAACAAAACGTTACGATCGTTCCTTTTTTTTTTTGGTCGAAACGATCATTCTTTTAATTTAGAAAATGCACCATCTTAAGAGCTGTCACTGAAACCTTCGTTTTGGTTTTAGTCTCCAACTTTTTGGGGCCATTCTATAAACAATTTTTTTTTTTTGATGAATAGATATATTAAAATTATGAGAAAATATTAGGAAAAAGTAGAATATTTGTACAAATTTTTCTATATAATACATAATGATAAAAATAAGTTTGTAGAAATCATTATGCATTATATAAAAGTTAGATTATCCCGGTCTTAAAAAAGTTTTAAACGATACTTTATATTAAATTATTAATGATGATTGCATATCTTTTGTATAAATAGGAGCAAATTCACGCACCGGTACCATCAAACTACAACGGTCATAATCAGCGACTACACATGCAGCCACTACCGGTTATCTTCCACGATGGACGTCTGGTTAAGTTACCAACACCAGCCACTGCATTCCTCATCCTTCTTTGGATACCATTTGGAATAATCCTAGCCGCGATTCGGATCTTCGTCGGGTTCATTCTCCCGTTTTGGGCCCTTCCTTACGTTTCGCGGATTTTCAACACTCGATTCATTGTCAAAGGCAAGCCTCCCGCACCAGCAACGGCCGGAAATCCAGGTGTATTATTCGTATGCACTCATAGAACCTTAATGGATCCGGTTATATTATCTTATGTTCTCGGACGTAGCATTCCAGCTGTTACCTATTCCATTTCTCGGTTATCCGAGATTCTATCTCCCATTCCAACCTTCCGGTTAACTCGAATTCGAGATCTAGATGCTGAGATGATCAAGAAAGAGTTGTCTAATGGGGATTTAGTTGTATATCCTGAGGGAACCACTTGTCGCGAACCGTTTTTGTTGAGATTTAGCGCGCTTTTCGCGGAATTAACGGACAAGATTGTACCCGTGGCAATGAACTATAGAGTTGGATTCTTTCATGCGACTACTGCTAGAGGATGGAAAGGTTTGGACCCGATCTTCTTTTTTATGAACCCAAGACCGGTTTACGAGGTGACGTTTTTGAACCAGCTTGAAGTGGAGGCTACGTGTTCCTCAGGGAAGAGCCCATATGACGTGGCTAACTATGTACAGAGAATCTTGGCGGCTACGTTAGGGTTTGAGTGTACTAACTTCACGAGGAAGGATAAATACCGAGTTCTCGCAGGGAACGACGGAACTGTGTCGTATTCGTCGTTTCTTGATCAAGTCAAGAAAGTGGTCACCACTTTCAAACCTTTTTTCCATTAGTTTTTTCAAGATATTTTTAATAATTAGTATTTTCTAAACTATGTCATAATTGATTGCACACATGTTTTTAAGTTTTCCTTTTTAGATTTATTTTGGTAAAACGTACGTGACTACGGGTTTATTTCTTTCTTATAAGTTATCTTTTCTCGAATGTAATTGCCAATATTAATTATATCAATTTTTGTTAAATAAAATAAGGTTCCCATAAAATAAATGGC